TGGCGGTGGTTGGCCTGGGCGGGCTTGCGAGTCCCGGAGGTGGTCTTTCAGATCTAGGGTTCGTCTTGGGCTATAGCTTCTGGGGCTTTTTCCGGTGGTTCGCGTTTTGGTGTTTGCTTGGTCGAACGGGTGGTGGGGATGAAGTCCGGTGGGGAGGGCGTTGTTATTTTCAATATTTTTGTGTTTTATTGTTTGTGTTGTTTTGTGTTGTTTGTTAGTGTTTATGTTTCGTCTTTTTTGCTTCTCCCGGTTGGGAGCTTCTCCCCTTGTGGGAGTTTTTCTGTTTCTTCTTTTTCGGTTCTCCCGGTTGGGAGCTTCTCCACTTGTGGAAGTTTTTCTATCTCCTCTATTGGGAGTTTGTAGGTTGTTTTTGTGTGTTGTGGTTTGTTTGTTGTTGGTAGGTAGGATTTAGACTACACTTTCTGTAGCTCTCCCACCTAGATTCAGCTGATTGGCTGGTTTCTCAGCGAATTTGTTGTTTTCTAGTTTGTATTTGTGTGTTTCTATATATAAAATCTATCGTTTGGAAAAAAAAATATATACATAGTCGAAATTTTTAACGTACATAGATAATATTAGACTAAGAAGTTATAAAGATATTGACATAACCATTTTTTATTCTCATAATGTGATGGAGACGAGATCGCACTCGCCTATCGGAGAAAATATGATCTGCTCCATCTTTAGTACATTTATTTATGGCCTTTATTATTCTTATTGTTTTTCTTATTCAGTTGTTAAGAGAATATTATATTTATTGGGTTTTGCCTTGTTTAGCAAGATAGGTTAATAAGGGGCTCATGACTCTATATATTGTCCTCTTATTCACTATAGTCGGCAGCTTTGCTTGAGATTAATAAGATTTCTGTTGAGTTTTTAACTCTTCGTATTCTCATTCGTCTGCCACGCTACATCAGTTGTTATCAGTAGTCAGTACGATTCGCAATGTTGCTGCGACGACAAGATGCAATCGACCGGCGTGACGCCACCATCAACGATTGGTTTCAACAAATGGAGGATCATTTTAGGACCGATTTCAATAGATGGATGATCGATTCACGGATCTGTCAATGAGTATCGAGGAATTGCGTCTCACAATGCGTACGATGGTGGAGGGTGTTCATACTAACCGTGACGCCGGTGACCGGGGCGTGCGCAGGAGGTTTTGAGGCGGACGTGGTGGTCGTGGTCCAGGCAGCGCGCCACGGCGGCAATCTCCACAACCACCGCCCAACGATGAAGATAGCGAGGACACCATCTCGGAAGTTAACCCCTTTGGCGAGTAGCAGCCTCAACGTGAAGCAGCAGGGTTCTTCGACGCGCACAGTGGGCAGGACTGGCGACGTGATTAGGTCCCGCAACGAGAGGCCATGGGTTTAACCGCGATCAGCAGCACCGCGACTGGGGCCATCCCTGCGACAGCTCGGCCTTCGACGGCGAGCAGCAGCGCGGCGATTGGGGCCATCCTCACGACGGCGCAACCTTCAACGCCAAGCAGCAGCACCGTGAATGAGGACCGCAGCGCGTGGGCTTTGCGGGTTTTGACGGCGATGAGTAACAGCGACGCTGTGCGATGGAGGGCAGTGGCGAGTCGCGCTGAGAGTCAGGGTTTCGGTTTGAGATTTTCGAGTTTTCTAGCGTGCTTAATGTGACGGATTTTCTTGATTGGTGGGCCGCTGTTGAGTCCGTGCTCGAGTTCAAGGATGTCCTGGACAAAATGCGAGTCACGCTCGTCGCGTCGCGATTTTGTGGGCGAGCGACCCCTTGGTGGATGCAACTCAATGGCGTGCGGCATCGTCAGGGCAAACCAAAGATCTCGACTTGGTCGAATTTCGTAAGCACCTCGAATGCGAGTTTTTTGCTTTTTAATTTTGCTCGTTCAATATATCAACAGTTGCAAAATTTGAGGCAAGGACAACGTTCTTTGGATGAATACACGAGGAGTTTTATCAACTCCTCACGCATGCTGATATTCGTGAGACAACAAACCAAATCGTTTCGCGGTATGTTGATGGTTTACGTACCTCTATCCAGGATACACTCATTTTATTCATGCCGGATTCGATTTCGGATGCACAGCAATAGCCCATCCTTGTCGAGGAGCAGTTAGCTCATCGAACGAACACGTCTTTTCTTTCTTCATCGCCGGTTGGAGCTGAGATCGGTGGGTCGGGCTCAGGCCTACAACTCGGTCAGTCATCGGCTAGCGCGGGTCTATTAGTGGGGTTGGCTCCTGGGGCTGGGCGCGCGGCAGTGCCCAGCGGGGATATTCAGCGGTTGGCAAGGGCTGGACCTGGTCGTCCGGCAGCAGCAGCGAGGGGGTAGGGCCAAGTCAGTCGGCGGCTCCGTTGTTTGGCTTGCGACGAGGTGGGCCATTGTTTATTGTGTTTTTGTGCTTATTTTCGCGTGTTTTATGTGCGTTAATTTAGTCTTTTTAGGTTCGTTTTAGTGTAGACCGGTCCATTTTATCGCATTTCGTGTATTTTCTTTGTCTCTCTCTTTATTCTATATTTGGCGTACTTTTTCCGTGCTCTTGGGTATTTTTCAGGTTTATTTAAGAGAATGATGAGAAGAGTCGAACCGAGTTCCGAGAGACGAGCCTTTTCAATGAATTCCGAGTCATAGCCGAGAAGTTTCGAGCCATTTCGCACGAACATTTTTCATTCCGAGTATTTCGAGCCTTGATGATCAAAGTTTTCAAAAGCTGGCCAGACTTGCGACCTCGCCCCGAGACTCGCGACCTCGTGGAGCACCAGCAGCCAGGGACACTCGCGAGTACGCGCCGAGACCCGCGACCACGCGAAGGACCTTAGCCCAGCACTGGAACACTCGCGACCACGCGGGAGGCACCTCGACCTCGAGAGTGCCGATTCTCTCACTCTCGCGTGCGCGAGTTGCCCCGCGACGTCGCGAGTATCGATCTCCTTGTGTTCGCGCCCTCGGCCAGATTCACGACGTCGAGAGTGCTGTCCGCCTGCCCGTCCGCGCGCGCAGATCTATCCGCGAGGTCGAGAGTATGCCCATCTGCCACGTCCGCGGGCGCGAGTTCCCCCGCGACCTCGAGAGTCCCCCTTTTTCCTCGCGCCGACCTCGTGCCGCCCCGTGCCAAACGACCCCTTGCGCCGACCAGTCCCCCTTTATAGTGTGTTTGAGGTGTAGCTATAAATAGACATTGTGCTTTGTAATTTTAAGTTTGGAAATTCTCTCTAGTTTTCTCTCTACTCTCTCTTGGGAGCTCTATGACATCATTTTTCGGCGAGTTTTCCAGCGACATTTATTTTGCTCAAGTTCCGAGCTTTTGACTCCGATTTTCATCTAGCACGCAATAGAATATTGGGTATTTACTTTTAAAGCCCATTACTTCAATTTTTGCCTCGTTTTTACTTATGAAGTTTTTCAAGGTGATTTTGAGTGTTTGCTTGATGATGGAGGAGATGTTTGGACTTGATCATTGCTATTGCTTGTTTTAGTAGGGACTAATTGCTTGCCTATCTAGATTAAGGGTTAGGACTCTATTTTGAGCTTAATCACTTAGGTTAGAAGGTTAGGCTCAGTGACCTAGTGTTAGAACTTGCAAACTTCTCGTCGTAGATTTCGTTTGATGTTGATGGCATGGAGACTCCGGTAGTGTTAATTGCGTTATTTTCTCGTTTGCTTGTTGCTTTTAATTCCTAGTGCAATTAGTGTTAATTCTCCCCCAATCAAGCGAGTAGAATGTGTAGGACCTTCTTTTTTGTTATGTGACTTTGACGACTAGGTAGTGAACGAAGCTTCGAACACCCTTGCTTTGAGAACGACCCGAGTCTGGGTAGCTCGGTTACCACTTACCCAAAAATACTACAAACAGCCATCGGTAGGCCGTCTGTCTGTGTTTCGGTGGTTCGCGTGCTTTGTTCATCGAAGAGGCTGGCGACCCCGATACGGCTGACAAGATGATGGGCCCTTGTACGACGGTCCGCCGGTCTTTGACGAGGAGGCTCGTGTGGAACACGTTACCAGAGATGCCGGTCCGGCACTTCTTCTTCGTCATTCCTGTTTGACTTTTCGTGTGGCACTGACATGCGTCGAGGTATCCGAGGACAAGATGATGTTGTTAACTGTGATGAGAATGTTATTCATATTGCTCCAGCTGAACATGAGCGGATGGCTGAATCACGCCTTCATTTGAATAGTCTTGTTGATGAACGTGAGCATATGTCTGGGGACATGGGTCGCGCACTAGTCCTTCGTTGGTCTTTCGTGTCTCTCTGTGTCTCGCCCGCGAAAATGCGGTTCAGCGCCATCATATCTTTGAGTCCATGCCGTTTGTGGTTCAGTTAAAAAAGTGGGCAGAGGATGTTTTAGTTGCCCTAAGTCAGACTCTTCAGTCAGATCGTGCTACCTTGGAAGCTCATCAGTATACTATAGAGTTTGAAATCGGCGATTTTGTTTGGGCCGTACTCACGAAGGATTGATTTTCGGCGCAGGAGTACACGAAGTTGTCTGGGCGGAAGATCAGAGCGATTGAGATTATTAAACAGATCAACTGGAATGCATACCGCCTGCGCTTGCCATCCCACATTTGTACTTCTGATGTATTGAACGTCAAGCATTTGGTCCCGTTCAGTGGTAAAAATTACGACGGAGACGAGACCACCACGGATTCGAGGGCGAATCCTTCTCAACCGAGGGAGGATGATGGAGATGAGATTCCACTCACCTATCTGGAAAATATGATCGACTCTGGCTTTAGTATATTTATTTATTGTCTTTATTATTCTTATTATTTATTTATCTTATTTAGTTATTATGAGAATATTATGTATATGGGGTAAGCAAGTTAGGTTAATAAGAGGCTTAGGACTCTACATATTGTCATCTTATTCACTATAACCTTGATTGAGATTAATAAGATTTCTGTTGAGTTTTTATTCTTCGTAATCTCATTGTCTACCATGCTATATCATAATGATACAACATAAATAAAAGTATTTATGTATAGTTGTGCATTTCAATGTATATATATACACACATACATTTGTGTATAGTTGTGCATTGTTATTATTATTATTATTATTATTATTATTATTATTATGGCTCGTGGTGGATCTCATAGGTTGAGCTTGGTGTTTCACTTCTGTATTTATTTGTGTTTCAAATACAGAGGTGGCCTGGATTGCCACAAGACAATCGATTGCAATCGTTTTGAAATTTAATATAATTCTGTCATTTTGAAAGAAAGACTATTATTGTTCAATTCTCTCTTATTGTTGTACAGGTTCCCAAATCAAAATATCATAACTTAAAAAATTCAATAAAATCAAATAGTAGCAGCAATGTTGCAATAAAAAAGAAATGCAACCACGTGAGCAAATACAAGCACTGCAAACTCGAGAACAAATTCAATAACCCAACTTATTTGAATTGCACACACATGAAATGAAATTGTTGGTGTCAATCTCAAAACTTGAACTAAAGCTCACACAAATAACTCGTCCTAGTTGAAAAGCGGTCAATTATATGTTGCCCAGATGAAAGGATCCAAATATCAAAACAGATTATACGGTCAAGCAAAACTAGTCCATGTCATGTCACTGCCATCAAATGGCGAAGCCATGAAAGGCAGGAGAACGAAAGCATTACTAAATTTCACGAAAATCAAGAGCAAATATCAAATAGTAAATGAACACGAAAACGATAACACATAGGGCAATTTCTTCAAGATATTTCAAAACTCCCCAACATTTGCAACGTTTCACAGCAGCAGAGAGCCACTACAGTTATTATTACAATAAATATTCATCCAAGACATATCACAGTACCAAACCGAAACCGAAAGGATGCACGTCTAACCAGAAAGGAGCTGCATAAAGAAAAGCATACGAGTCAGTCTCGTTTCATAGGTCATCTATAAATCTTTATCAGACAAAAAAAACTGCTAGTCTAAACATTACCTCCTCCATTTCGTTCCCTCACATTTCAAAAATAAAATTAGTAACTAAAAATTGTTTCATTCTAATTTTCTTGAATGAAGGGTATATCAATGTTAATCAAATTACTCCCCTTTTGCCAATAGCAATGAATTGAATATAAATACCATTTGATTGGGAAATCAAAGATTGTTTTATTGAATTTGATCAATACCTAAAATTTAACACACTTGATTAAAGCTAAAGACAAAAACATCAATGATTACTTTTTTTGAGTTTGCGTGAAACAACCTCATATGATAGATAGAAGGAAATGAAGGTAGAAGCTGTGTAGCATTTCAACCAAAATTTAGCATTTCAGACCATCAATTCATGAGAGGGTCAATTACCAAATATTCAGGTACTAATTTGCACCAGCACAAAGAAGGAATAAAAAAAGACATCAAGGGGTTAATATGAAACTTTATCAGTTTACAAGCATGTTATCCTTATTTGTCAACCTCAAAGCAATAGCTCGAATAAGACGCATAATGTAGAAAGCGAGAGAAAGAAAAGGAACAAACAAGAAGGTAATGAATCCAAAATAACGAAACTAAGAAATGCACCACAACGAACAAATGGAAGAACCCATCATGTTTAGACAAACCATATTATGTACTAAAGCATAAATATACTCATCTTCTGTTTCTCTTGAGTAGTTCAGTTCATATTTTCCTGATAAATATGATCAGAACTTCATATAATAAATTGACATTAACTAGTAAAAGCTTTTTCCTCATCAGCCAGCCAATAACACCATTACCACAAATTTAACAAGTAATTGTAAATTCAAAATCAACAGAAAAATCTATCAAAGCAAGATTCACCATACTTCAAATCCAAATGCCAATAATCACAGACCTTAAATTGCCAAAAAGGTCACCGTACCAAAATATTCCCCTTTTAGTACTCATGAATACCATCAGATACCAAAACACTCCTCGTAGAATTCTCCTATGACATTTCATTAAAGAAACTTAAGCTAAACTCGCATTAGATCCAAATACCAAATAAAATAAAATAAAAACCAAAAGGTCGAACAGAATCAAAGGAGCTCAAAAATCAATGATCCGAGAAACATTAACATCAATTGAGAAGACAATTTTTTTTTTTTTTTTAAAAAAAAGAACCCCACCTTTTTCATCACCGGAAAGTAACTTAGGATCCTGAATTAGCCGGTTTTTTGGTCGAAACAAAATCGGGCGGGGAGTAAACGAGGGCGGCGATCATGGCTGCCGGAAGGACGCCGTACTTGGCCGCTGCCGCCAGCTTCGCCACCAGCGGCTCGCCCTTCATAAGACCACCCAGGACCATTGCTCCGATCTCTCTATCGTCCACTTCTTTCTGCTGTTTTTCTTGAAATCCACAACGAACAAAATACCAAATCCTTGCAGCTGACCAAGCTACGACCTACGAATTTGATAGCGATTAATTAATTATAGAGCTGCGAATTTCCCCAATTGGGCTTCTAAGACGCCCAGTAGAATTATCAACTAATGGGCTTTGTTTATACTAATCTGGGCTTCTATTTTATGAATTACGATTAGCATAAATTTATAATGTCGTTTTATTATTTACAAGAATATTATTAAAAACTTTTTTTAAAATGACATATAACTCATATTTGATTAAACATGTTCTTATAAAAGCATTCGTCATTTGATTGTTTAGACTATATTATATTGACTAGTTTACATGTTTACTATATTTTATTTACAATAATAAGATATTAAAATAAACCAATATATAAACGAGCTATAAATCAATACATAATTTAATTTCAGATCTAAATACAATACTAAACCACAAATCAATCATTCATAAACCATAAAATTTATTATATTTACAATTAAAATAAAAAATTCAGCAAGTGGAACGCTTTTGTTTACAATTAACATAATGTATTTACCATAAAATTTGATGCGCTCATTAATCAAATTTCGGGGTATATCAATAGGTGGAACGCTTCCTCTCTCTCATATGCGGGACGAGTGGAGCTCATTAAATCGGTCCTCCAAGGGGTGGAATGTTTTTGGATGTCTATTGTTGTAAATATATTTTTCGGAGTAGAATCAAAAGATTCGAACACCGGGTCGTGTCTCTCGAGGAAGGTCAGTCGGATTAATATGCACGTTTATTCAAACACAATTAAAAGACATAAAATTCCTAGACATTCTAATTCAGATTTTGGTTTGATTTTTGATTATCAATTACTAAGATTTAAATTAAGCAAATTAAAATAGCAAAAATTAACACGTAGAACAAGCAGGATTTAAGAAGCTAGGGAGTCGGGGATATCCGTTTTGGTTCGAATTGTGACTATTGGGCAAGTGATCGTTCGATTAAGTGATTTGAATAACCTGCTCGTTCAAGTACTCGTCCTCAATAACTCCTCGTAACAAGAGAACAAACTTGAACGGTAAAATTAACAAGTCATTTAACACCTAGGCAATACAGTTACGAACAAGCCTAATTTATACGAGCTTATTTCAACCGCCTCCTCCCCTTTCGGTTCTAAGAGTCGATTAAATTACACTAGAGGGTTGTTAACCGACTAATCAATAAGAATAACCATCATTATGCGAGAATACATCGAATTCAATCGTAAATTGGAAATTGAAGTGTCACCCTTCAATAATTCTCAATATTCAAGCCTAATATTTGAAAAACTCTTTTGAAGAATAACTCGTACAAATAGAACGATCAATAATTCCTAACAATCACTAACGAATTCAAAACATTAATCCCCTATTCCCTAGCAAATGGATTTAGCCAATCATAATATATTCAACATCAACAACCTCAACAATCAAGATAGACATATTCAAAGATTAAATGAAAAGAAAATCTTACGAATGATGAAATCCAAAAGTTGAATCTGATAAACAGGCTTAAATCCAAAGCAATAGCAAAATCCGAGATCAAATCCGTGTTCTACGTTGAAATCGGTGAAAGAAAAGTGAAAAACGAGTGAAAAGAGAGGGGGTAGGGTTTCTGTGTTTCATGGGTCGAGAGAATGCGAGATCCCTCCTCTCGAAATCCCGTGCGCATATATATATATATAAGGGATGGTGTCACGGCGTGAAAGGGACTGGCGCGGCGCGCGGCAGACTAGTGCCACGGCGCAGAGCATTGGGTGCGGCGTGAAGGGTGTGGTCGCCGCGGCGCGGCAGAGGCTCGCGGCGCAATGGGACTCCTGCTCCGCGGCGTGAAGGCTGGGCGCGGTGTGAGGGACTCCTGTGCTGCGTTCTCTGTCCGCCCGTGATGCTGGCCGCGAGATGGCCCGCGGCGTGGAGGGCTGGGAGTGCCGCGGCGCTGGGGTCCTCGCGGCGTGATGCTGGATACACGAGCCTCAGTACACGCATGATGGTCGTCACGACGTGGTGCTCGGGCGCGGAGGTCTGGGCAGCTGCTCTACTTCGCTTCTCGGGGCCCGTTCAAGCTCATTTGGACTCTGAATTCGATGCCGTTTTCTCCTGTGTATTGCCAACGAAAAGCTCTACTCAGCTAAGTTCTCCCGGTCCTATTATTGTGAAAAATAGATCTTCCCGAGCCTTCCATCCTGCACACCAAAGACGAGAAAACCAGAAAAATACCCAAGAAACACATAGAAAACTAAAATGAAACAAGACGTGCAATAAACTATAAAAGCGAATAAAAACTAACGAAAAGACCTAAAACAGGAGAAAAGAAAATGAAAAATAAGAGGGGAAAAACGCAACAAAAATGGGACAAACATCTATCTTCCCTCTCCCTTCGACCGCACGTACGCTCATCATCCAACGATACCGACACTTCCTTTGGGGGTCAAAGATTGCGCCGGTGGCTTGGCATTCCGTCACCCTTACACGTTCAGAGAGAGGCTTAGGCCTTCGGGATCTTAAAGCGTGGAATCAAACGTTGTTGGCACGTACACTATGGAATATACATGCCAAGAAAGACAGTTTGTGGTACCGTTAGGTTCATCATGTCTATCTAAGGCAAAAATCCGTTTGGGAATGGACTATCCACAAGAGTTATTCGCCTCTTTTCAATAACCTCTATGATATTCGGAATCTAATGGTTGATAAGTTGAATAGTATGCAAGCAGCCGAGGCCGCTCTAAATCTTTGGGACTCCAAATCCCACTCCAAGGGGCCCTCATGCGTTTACGAATTCTTCCGGTCCAAAGGTACACCCGTCCCTTGGAAGGGAGTTGTTTGGGGGCCCACCAATACCCCCAAACACGCCTTCATCCTTTCGCTTGCAACGCTCGAGAGGCTTCGAACCAAGGATAGGCTTGGCTTCCTTGATATCGACCTTACTTGTGCCTTTTGTGGGGAAGCTTCCGAGACCAAGGATCATCTCTTTTTCGCTTGCCCCCTTTCGGCTCAAGTTTGGCTTGGCATCCAGCATTGGCTAGGATTGAGGAGACAATTCTCCATACTAAAGAGTGCATTGAAGTGGATTAGGAAGGAATCCCAAGGCTCCGGTTGGAGAACAAAAGCAAGGAAGGTCGGGCTCGCGGCAGCGATGTACCTTCTTTGGAATGCTCGGAATAGGAAGATATTCGAAAATGAAGTGCAAACTCCGGAGCTCATTATTCGGAAGATTCAAACCCATGTCTATAGGACTATATTTGCTTTGTCCTTGCCGAAATGGAGAGAAAAGCCATCGGAAATGGCTAGGCGAAGTCTCCTTAAGGTACGTATCATTTTGATTAGGGTTTCATTTTGGTTTGAGCTGAGCAACAGACCTGTGGTTTGTCTCTCATTATTTTGATTAGCGAGTGAGGAGCCGAGATTGTGGCCGCTCACTTTGCTTTCGTATGCCATATGACGGTGGATGTAACATCAGTTTTGATCTATAAAATTTATTTTATCGATCAAACAAAAAAAAATCAGTGAGTGTGAATGGTGTAATTTTTTTATTATATTTATCTTAAAAAAATATTCATGATATAAAAAATTATATTTAACTTCAATATTTGATTTGGTTTGCTAAGTTGACCCATAGTATGGTTATTGAAATGCAACTCATACTATGTCATGTGTTTTTTTATTGTTTGGGCAATGACCAGGCGAAATTCTTAGTTTTTTCTTAAATATGTTTATTCTTAGTTTTTTCTTAAATATGTTTAAGTTTTTTATATAAAAAATAATTCATAGCAAAAAACAATGTTATTAATTAAATACTTATAATCAATTATTTCTTATTTTACATATATTTCTAAAACAATAAATATAATAATTAAAAAATTAAAACTAATTTATAGATTCTGAAATAACCCAATGATGGGAATAGTGCCATGAGATGGGAATAGTGCCATAAGCCAGTACAAAATCGAGATATTTTTACTAAAGTGAAAATATTAAATGTAAATAAATATTACAATATTTTTAAAATTATATAAAACTTGAAACAGAAATTTCTCTTTCTAATTTTTAAATTTCAGTTATAAATTATTTTATTAGAGAAAAAATAAATAAAATAAATCAATATTCTTTTTTTATATAATTATACATGCACTGGCCAGTCACCAGTGGCCACCTAACACTAACAGTTCTCGCATCAAACCATTTTGATTTGAATATAAGAAATGTCACGTCCCTACCACGCCCATTCTGAGAAGTAATATCAAAAAAATTAAAATAAAATATGAAATTGAGCAATAAGGGATCGACAGCCAATGCTAATTGTACCTTATGCCACATAAAGAGAGAGAAGACAAGGAAGGATCCAAAATAACACTTATAAATTATATTCTATATTCATGATTGCCCAGGATCCTCCTCCTACTGTATTCATTGACTTTTGAATACATGCAAGCTTACAGATTAAGATTGTGTAATTTTAAAATCTAAAACATAAAATAAAAATTAAAACATCTCGCGATAGTTATTGTTGGGGTAGAACAATAAGCGTATAAAAATGTCTCTATAACAAATATAGCAAGCACTACTACTAACGGAAATAAGTCAACACAAATAAATAAAAGACGAAAAAGAAAAAGAACACAAAAAATTAATAATGGAATTCGATCAATATTGTCTAGGTCTCCGGGCGCCACCAACCGCAACGCCAAATTTACTAAACTCACCAACAAAATACAACTAGGGTCAGGGGCGGATCCAGAAAAAAAAGTTTAATGGGACAATTTCTTTTTTATTTTTTTTTAATAATGACATATACTTAACAACAAAGACATAAAGTTACAATTTTGGAATTAAAAAAATAAGGTTTAATAAAATAAATACATATCTTTTAAACTTCATTTCTATTAGAATTGAGCTCGACGTTCTTTCAAGTCACGAAATCCATCAGACTCGATACTAATAGATCTTGCAATTTCTCTTTCGATGAAGATAGTCAAAGATTTTAGAATAAAGGTATAATATGCAATTCCTCTTTTACCTTCCTCATCTGATCATGTTTTCTTTTAAAAAATGAGTCATTCTTTATAACTTCCCCATACTTTGAAAATAAAATAAAAATAATGAATATTTATATTAAAAAGGTATAGGCAATTCTAGATATAATAGTGAAATTTTAAAAAAGAAGAAGAGAGAGTGCGTCGCCTCCCTCATCCCGTCGCCTCCCAAATCCCGTCGCCGTCTACACAATCTTTCGTCGCCTTCCTCAGTAGGGCCCGGCAGGTACTCGGTGGTGGCTCCACTGGCCTTCGCGGCCCTCTTCTGTGAGATGCGATGCTCTGAGGGGAGCTTTTTCGCCGGGGAGATGCTATCGCCGTTTTCCGGTTTCAGCCTCGGAGCTGGGAGTAAATGGCGGCGGCTGTTTCTTCTCCGGCATCTCCATTGCGGCGGCCCTCTGGCGATCTCAGGGAGAGGGCTGCGACCCCAATTTCCCGATCTAGGGTTTGGGTGGAGTCTTTGTCTGACCATTTTGATCTTCTTGGCCTTATTCGGGTGTTGAAGTCGCGGTCGCCGGCTCTGGTTCGGGGCGATTTTCGGCTTTGGCTCGCGGCGCAGGTCGGCTCCGGTTCTGGGTGTCGGTCTCATGGTCGACGGGCCTGGTTCAGAGTATTCGTCGGCGTTTGTTGGGCTGGGCTATTTGCTCGAGGTTCGGACCATTGTTGTTAACTGTTTTGGTCTGGCTTTTTGGTCTCCGGGCGTCAGTGGAGTTGTTCGTCTGGACGAGGATTGGGCCTGATGGCTCCCGATACAGTTAGGCATTCTTTTGCAGTTTCTGGGTCGGGCTACTGGGCCGTGATTCTACCATTGTTGTGCTTGGTGTGGTATCCCGATTGGGGAAGGGCTTTAGTTATTGTTTTCTCTTTTGGTATTATTTTGTTCTGTGTTTGCCTTGTTTAGTTTCGTCTGTGTGCTTAGTGTTTTGTTTTCTGTGCTTAGTGTTTGTTAGTTGGTCTGTGTGTTTGTTTGTCTTTGTTTGGATATGAATACAGGCTAGGCATTGTGCAGTGGCTCTGTTATTCATGTTCCTTTATTTTCGGTTGTGGAGTTCTCTAGGCCGCCACGCGCGTGTCCTCTCAGTTTTCTCTTCATGTTCTTTTTTAGGCGTGTTTTTGGTTTGGGCCGTTGGCCCCTGTCTCATTATCCTGTTGGGGTCTTAGATTACCCCATTGGGGTCTTGTAATTTGTTTCTTTGCACTTTTGTGCTTTTTATAGTAAATCTATCGTTCCGGAAAAAAAAAAAGAAAAAAAAAAGAAGAAAAATAGATTGGCAAAGACATAGAGCAATAGGAATTAGGATATGTATATTTGTTCAAAGATAAGTTGGCTGTAACAAGTACACAAACATCCTCGTAATTCATAAATAAAAACCTACTATAGATTTTCAAGGATGGACAAAACACTTCCCTTATTTGGACCACTATATACGTTGGAGCTTGGGAGGACTCCACAATTTTTTTTTTAAAAAAAAATCAAAACTTAATGCAAACTACTTAACAATCATTTAATTGTTTTTTAGTACATATATAATTTTTTTAAATGAGGCTAAAAAAGAATAGGAATCGAGAAAACCTCATACATTCAACTTGACTAAAACCTAAATGGCTCAAAAGGAACAAATAGATAATATCATAAATAAAGATATAAACAAAAGTACTTACAAATATAATTATCCGATCCGAAGAAGATGAATGCTCAAAAAAATTTTCCAATTTGTTTGTTCAGTGCTCGTCGAGTCGTCCTGTCTTCCTCTCCAAATTTTTTCAAATTTTCTGTGGTCGACGAGAAGTTCCAACTTCTTTTACTTACTTTAATTATTTGTTTAATAGTTTAAGAATAATTAACTAACTTAATTTATTGTATTATATATTATATATGCTTATTAAAGGAAAAGTTGGAGAAGTAGAATCGTGTGCCTCAAAAATTGATTTTGTTTCTACCTTTCTATTTAATATATCAGTTACTTTAATTTATATTTTTAGGGGGGGCAAAATAATTAAATATACATAATATTATACATTATATATACATAGTACTAAAAAAAATAAAAAAAATTGGGGTGGACCATGGCCCCCCCTACCATGTAAGTAGGTCCGCCCCTGACTAGGGTTAAATAACCCACAAATTAGGATTTCTTTAATTAAGGATTTTCTTCTAAGATATGAGAAAATAGAATAAGGTGCAATTGTAACCCAAAGCAAGAGACCTATTTATACTAAAAACATCATACACATCTTTGGTACACATCCGATGTGGAACAAAACATAATCAAAATCAAACATTTCTCCACCTTGACTAAGTTTGCTCCCACTTCGACTCTTCAGTCCAACTCAACTGCTGGCGGTGCCTCCAAATGCGCCTCTCGGCGCCAACTCAAATATGCAGAATGTTGGTCAAGTCTAAACAATGTTCAAACTTGACTCATGTCACTATCTGTTAGATATGTTGTAAAAGTTTGGCTTTCAGATATGAACAATTTCATTTTGATCTGGCAATCGTGTTTTAGTCAAAGTATTTATGTTTGCAGTTTATTTATTTATGCAATCATAACTCCATTATCTTATATTGTAGATAATATGGTTCATCGTGTCGAACATAAGATCATATTATCGGTTCCTTGTAAAATATAAATTTAACGTTCATAATTTTAGACAGACAGTGAGACCCCGGTTGGATAAAGAGTGTAGTGTAGTCTTGATTCAATTGATCTTTGAATGATGGGTTACACTAGTACTTATGATAAGTATTGAACGGACCGCGAAAGGATAAGATTATAAGATTTACTAATTGTGGTTATAATCTAGACCTTCGGTGATTGATGCGTTCTCTTAAGTTGTAAGATAATATAAAATGGGCATATATATTTATTACTTATTTATTTGATTTAGCAAGGGTGATTCATATTCTGTTAGAATCACATACTCACTATCTTGGTAAGTAAGAGTATTTATATGATGTGCCGTTATAAATTATTTACAGTCACTATGTCACAGTACGCTGGGTTGATGACGTCCCCGAAATGATCTCAGTAAGGAATATTATGTTAAACCCTGCAGGTGAATAATTATCCGACATAATGATTAACGAACTGAATGGTACTAATTTCAGAAATGGAAGAAGTCAATTTAATTTAATTGTCAGTAATTAAATTAATTAACGAAAGTTAAGTCTTAAACATAGGGAGGTCAATTGGTCAATTAGAATAATTAATCAGTTTATTATTAATTAATCATTTGGAGGTTTGATTTATTGAATAAATTGGAGCTAAATGGGGAGAGCAATAGTATTACTCTAGTGGGATGTTTTATTATTTAATTCTAATTAGGATTTTAGGAATTAATTATATTCCATAATTTAGATTCCATTAGGAGAAGGAATATTCCTTCTAGAACATTACATAGGGTTAGGAGACTAAGGAGTCTTCTAGAAGGTGATAAGGTTAGGAAGAATAAGACTTCTACTTGGGAAAGGATATGGAGCATGGTTAGGATTTTTTTCAACTTAATTGATATTTTAACTTATAATATGTCAACTAAACTCAAGTTCAATTTCTTTAAACTTCAACCCTCCCCCCCCCCCCCTTCTCAATTTTTTTAAATAAATATCGGTCCAGACCGAAATCGGATCCGGCCAAACTCGGGTTGAACCGGTCCCGAACTGCCGGCTCGGTGAACTGGCACAAAACTGTCGGGCTCCTAGAGGCCGACAACTCCAGGTCTTGTCTTTTCGGGTAGCTCGGTATCTTAAGCCCATGTTCAGTTATTTGACTGAGTATCTGACTTCTGTATATACGAGAGTTCTCCTAGTCCTGCCTAACTGAGCTACCTGTTCAGACCGGTCTATTGGGCTATTTCTGAGTGTTATATCAATATGTAGTGTACCTACAACTTGTACACGTCCTTCACTTAACAGTAACAAGAAAAACGCAACAAAACTACTTAAATAAACGCACGCCTAAAACACAACTTAAAGCAACAAAGAAAAGACTAACGATCATAACTAACTGGAAATAGGGAAAACATATAAACCAGTAGGAAAATTGTGACTCTTAACAATTTGTTCAAAATAATTCAATTTAACTCGTCAAGTTAAATCACATCTAGTTTAATCCATATCCAATTTTGTAGTGCCTAAGCCTAATTGGATAATCCCATATTTAGCACCTCCTTAAGGTCCCTAATGGAGCCTATAAATACACCATGTCCCAACCTCTTCCCCTACTAATGCTAGTGCTCGATTTTAAGGATCCAAAAGAAAGAGAAAAATCGAGTTCTATACATATT